TTCTTCAACTGAGATTACAAATTTGACCACATAATGGATTGTTCAAGAAAAAAAAGTCTTCGTATGATGTCTCTTGACGCCCACTGACCTCACCCCACCATTTCCAAAGTGCATCGCCATGGATGCAACTGCAATTCCCCCCCAGGCAATTCTTTTGGACAAGTTTAACCAAGTGCTCGCGTTCCGTTGTATCACGGCCTTTGGCACTTTGGGGGTTGCAGACTACTTGGGCGAGCATGGTGCGTCGACGGCCGCAACAATTGCATCCGCTCTGAAATTGCATCCCTCGGCTCTCTTCCGTTTGCTGCGCGCGTGTGCCAACGTCGGTGTCGTGACGCAGTCGTCTCCCCACGAGACTGAATCTGTCTTTGGCTTGACCCCCGTTGGAGCATGCCTCCAATCGACCGATCATGTCTCTCTTTGCAACGTGTTGAACGCGTGGGCTCAGCCCAGCCATTGGCAGCCACTTGAGCATTTTGAAGCCTCCATCAAGACTGGTCAAGCAGCCACCTACGCTGCATACGGATCCGACATTTGGACGTACTACCAACAGCATCCGCAAGAACACACTACGTTTGCAGCATCCATGTCGGCCATGTCAGAGATTATTTCCAAGGCCATCCTCGCAACCATTGCGGTGGACAACGCGTCCGTGATTGTTGATGTCGGTGGCTCCAAGGGCACCCTTCTCTCGGCAGTGTTGACCAAGGCACCCCACGATGTCCGTGGTATTCTCTTCGATCTCCCGCATGTTGTCGCGTCACCAGCGACATTGGCCACATACGAGACTGGTCACCGGATTACGGCGACTGCTGGCAGCTTCTTCGAGTCGGTGCCACGAGGGGACATCTATTTGATCAAGCAGATTCTCCACGACTGGGATGATGCCAAGTGCATTTCGATCTTGAAAACTGTCGTTCAAAATGCTGTGAGAGGAGCGCGTGTTCTGGTGATTGAGCTCCTACTGAGCTCGACCGTCAAGCCAGCGGCGGCAATCGGAGAGCTGTTGACACCCAGTATTTTCATGGACATGAACATGTTGGTTATGTGCAATGGCCAAGAACGCACGGTAGAGCAATACGCCGCGCTGTTTGCCCAAGCTGGGCTTGTGTTCTCCAAGGCCACCCCCACTCCATCACACTACGTGATCATAGAAGGGCTCGTCGAGTAACGGGATGCTTGATCCCAGTCACGACACAGCTCCATGCCGTTTGTTGACCATATCATGAACCAACCCGAGCACCCCAGTCTCTGTCATGCAGAAATGAATCCCTCTTTCGTTCACTTCGATGCAGTGCCACTTCCATTATGCACACAGCAGCAACGACGAGAACATGGCACTCTCTTCGTTTGGCGAAACTAGAACATACCAAGGATATGTTTGGATGCTTGGGCGATCTTGGACTGGCTGTGAGTCCATCGACCACAAATATGAAGAGTCGAAGAAGACCGCCACACGCGCCATGCTGCGCAATTGAACAGACAAATTTGGAGCAAACTCTCATCTTGTGGCGTAATGGGTACAGTTGTTTTCAAAGGCGCTGTCCCCAACCACTACACACCTGACCTCCAACTATGTCATGGGGCCCGGTGACTGTGGAACCTCACGTCGTCCATAGGTGAACGTATAGTCCATCCTAAATTGTTTGTCGACACGATGGTACAGCACCCGGTCAAGATCGCCATTTGCAACTGCAAGTGCACATTGCTCCAAACAACAGAAGCTGCCCTTAGACGATGGACTGGGAGCTCAAGCATTTCGATCTGGTGTCATGTAGAGTGCGAAATCCCACGACGATGTGGCGCTACGTGAACGAGTTCATGAGTACGCCAACAACATGCGTTGTGGGATGCTGATCCAAGCGCCCGTTCGAGCTGTGCAAGATTACTTCGCGCCTTGGAGCTTGGCACGAACATCGCCTTTGTAATACGGGTGGAGGCAAGTCTTGAGCGCGGCGAGGAGCTTCTTTCGGTCACTGCTACTGCCTCTCAGCACGGCCACAATCGCGTCTTCCGTGTCTTGAATGTCCAAGTGACCGTTGAAATCGTCGTCGGCTTCTTGATCTTCGTACAGTTGCTTCAGGGCCGCGCACAGCCCTTCGACGACCCATTTTCGGTTTGGCACGAAGTCGAGGCAGTACGCCAGCGCCCCGCACACCATGCCAACGCAGTCGTCATCCCGTTCGGCCGCAGCCATCAAGGCCTCGACCATGTCATCCGTGTGGAACCAATCCGTATAGTTGGGATTCAAGGACGGCCGCTTCAGTACATTCCATGCAATCGCCGCCAATGTCTCTGTTGACGCCTCCGCATGCTCGTCCTTCAAGGACGTGGCCACCAATGAGGCCCAAGTTTTACTTCTCCGCAAGTTTCGTGCGGCAGCCGCGCAATGGGCGGTTAACTCCAGGACGAAATCCCCCGCCGTGTCTGCATATTCCCCACCTCGTCGCATCCACGTATGCAGCACACACAAGATCTGGGCAAGGCGGGGATGGTCGTCGTCATCTTGAACATGCTTGACCAGCCACGCGTGGTCCTCCGCCGACGGCTCGGACAGCAGACCCGCAATGTCGGCGTCCAGCGTTTCCAGGTCTGGGATAAAATATTTACCCACGAGAAGACTCGAGTCCACAACAACCGCGGCGTTTTCGCCATCGGACGCGTGGGAAATCTCGACCCACAAAGGACCGTCGATGGCATGCACCGGGACGGGGGTAGCTTTGGACGGGGAGGGCGAAGAAGCCGGGGGCATCTCCTCCAGGTAAGCAGGCCACTCGAGTGTCGACTTGCCCGCGGGAAGGCGCATGTTGGCGGTACGATGCTTGGCGTTAAATGCACTTGATGCGACGTCCTTATTCCAGAACCCGACCATGAGTGTCAACCGGTGGCCAGTTTCGTCGTCATTTCGTTGAAAATGCGGCACGACACCGTGCAGCAGGGATCCATCAAACATGGCCAAGCGATTCGTTTGCGGAAACACGAGATATCCCTTGGACACGGACGCATCTTGGCCAAAAGTTTTATCTGTAATGAGCGTTGGGGCGCCAGACTGGCCGGGCGCGATGTACCACACGGTCGACACGAGGGGGTAATTCAAGCTGTGTTCCTGCGTGAGCCGCGACTCGTCCGTGTCGTAGTGTAGCTGGTGGCCCGAAATTTGGTCGCGAGAGTGAACCCACCACTCTGCATGGGCGATCGCATCGGCTTTGTCTGGAAACGCGGCGCGGACGTAGGGGAGCAAGTGCTCTTGGATCCATGCCTCGACACAGTTGGACGGAACTGACGTCGTACAGTCGCGAAAGGCGTAGCTGAAGTAGCCCACGTCGGGATCACCATACCGATGTTCTCGCCAAAACGGCGATGTGTTGTGGTCGAACTTGAACGCAAAGTGTGCATGCACCGCGTCTGCCACTGGTGCGTCAACGACCTGTACATGCCGGGCGACTTCTGACGGATCAGCGACCGCAAGATTAGCACCATGGGATGAAAATGCACACTCGTGGAGACGATAGTGCATGCCAATAGATGCCAGCAATGTATCGGCCGCCGAGGGATTGCCCGTGCAAAGATGCAACATGGCCAGCGTGTACTTGGCGACTTGAGAAACCTGCGCATCGGCAACTTTCGCCACAACGTCCTCAAGTAAGGCACGGCCTTGGTCAATAGATCCCGCGTTCAGAAGCGCTTCCGCTTCCGCCACTTGGTTCGCGGCATGGACGGCCGCCAGGTTCCGAGATGCCTTGCGCTTTTTCCCCGTCGCTTTGGCCATCGTGTTCGATGGCTGGAGGCGTTGTGGTATTTTATCCGAATCCGGATAAACGGAGATGGACCTTGGGTCGTGGCAGCTCCTGGCGCGGGTGCCGACGAACGGAGGGTGGGCCTTCGGTGGGCTCGATGGCGAACTGCATCATAACTCGCCCCTTCCTTGCCATCATGGAGGTGTCGGAAAACGTTTCAGTTCTCAGAGTCCATGCTTACATCGAGCATCTGCCCAGAAGGTCCAGCAGACACACACAGCCGCCCATGTACACGGAAGCTCAACGTGGGCGCCGTCGTGATCCGACGATGCACTGCATGAAACTGGTGCTTGTTGGTGAATCGTTGGTTGATCCTTCTGATCCGTGTCTCATCAGTCTATTGGTGTGTCTACCTGGCATGCGTCGTCAGATGACAAGGGGGTGCCGGGTGACTGACGTTCATCGCAGAGAATACAAGAGAACAGCCCTCGGGGCCGGGCGAGCGAGTGCGTCACGGAACTACTGTAGTTACTGAACTTGCGAGGAACTGGCGGACCGACGAAGTGTGGCTGGGGAAATGCCGTGCTGAATGGTAGCGGCATCGCGTTCTGCCGGGGAGGCCAACGTTTTTCTACCCCATCGTGATGCGTGTGTGTAGTATTTCGAATTTCTTCCCACCAGAATGTGCTGTACAACGTGGGCTCGGTATCACGACCCCGCGAGCAGACCTTCGCGGCCATGGCCTTCCGCCACCCACGCCGTGCCGTGGTGTGCAGTATGGGAGTTTGTACACTGTTTCGGCGCTTGTCACTTGTAGACTGGCTTGGACCGGACGCGCCATCGAAATGGCCGACGCGGTTGGCGCAACGTCCCCAACAGTCCTGGCGCCATTCGATGCACAATGGTCCAACTATTCCCCCGCCGTCGTCGGTCCCGCATGACGTCTTTCGACGTTCCAAACGCGTTCGTTATTGTGCCGCATGGCGCGTTCGAGTCGGGAGTCGTGGCGTGCCGCCACGACAATTTCCCGGACTAGTCGGCAGGATATTTCACACGATGCTTAACCAAGCCGTCGGATGCAAGGCAGAGCCAACACACAACCAAACATTGCTATAACCCCTCCAATTTAACTTGGTGGATCTTAATACTGCATAACATGGGACAAAATACCATTCAGGAACTACTGGTACCTATGTAAAGGAGTATTAACAGTGATACAAGTTGACGGGTACCGGACGTTTGTTTCGTACCAAGAGCGTCACCCGACGGGGTTCAACTCATGGACCAATCGCAGGTCCGACCGGAGCAACTCAAACTTACAGAGCCACCGACGACGACGAGCCTCACCAAAAGCATACACGGCAACTGAACACAAAGCCGGGCGGCCATTTGAGCTTTTCGTGCCAAATGCATAGCTCGGTTGACGACGACTACGACCGCGACGAAATGTTTGACGAAGTCCTTGCCATCCTTCGACCCAAGCCGAGGAAGCCGCCGAAGCGATTTCGCTTGTCGCCATTTCGGCTCATTGAAGCGGCCAAAATCGAAGAGGAGACACTGAAACGCTGTGTGGAGGACCTGTACACGACGGCCAGTCCGTTTCAAATGCGCGATTACCTCAAGCTTCGATGCAAACAAACCCGGGAAATCATTCGCAAACTCCAATGCGAGGACTTTCCCGCCAACTTGTGGCAACTTCCCCCCGAACTCGAGGTCCGTCCGACATGGGCACTCCACCAGCATCTACCTCATCATCGTGGATATCATAGGGTGCCATGGATGCCAGTGAAGACACGTGGAGCGCCCACCAAATTCACGTTCAAATGCAAGTCGACTTGGATCGACTTGGCCACGCCTTCCACAAGTGTGGTTTGGCCCATGGACACCCCCAGCGCTTCACGCACATGACGTGCAAGCCATTCTCAAACTGCTTCGAGTTCATCTATGCCTACAGCTTCGTCGAAAACACTCTCGCCTCGACGTATGCGCAAGTGTACTGGGACACATTCACGCTGAATATGCCTCTGCTCCTGCCCGGCTGTCAAGCGCAGGTCCGTCCAACGTGCTCCTTTCGGTCGTCGCTTGCTCGTACAAACTAACGCAACGTGCAGTTGGTCGAGTATGTCGATTCGAACACGGTGCATCTTGCAGTGCAGCGTGGGGGCCACAACGACTCGCGCTACATCCTTAAGAGATTCCACGTGACACCGACCCGCATCGTCTTCATCACGCGATCCTTCAAGAATGGAGCCCAAGGCCACGCTGCAGACGACGCGACCGACGTCACGTGGTACGAGCTCATCCTGTTCTCGTTGCGGCAATATCAAGCTGGAACGTTTGTAGGTGCGTTGTCGATGCCTGGGACTTTTCAACGTCGTTCGTGACGACTTGTGCCGAAGTGACCGTGCCGTGGCGACCCGATGGTCGGTCAGGTGGTCCATCCATCGAGTTGAAGGACGTCATGATGGGTCACCTCATGACTGGCAAAGACATGCTGGTTCATCATGTCAGCAAATGCTTGCCGCCGCCTCCTGTGGCCAACAGCATCCCTGCCATGCTCAAATATTCATGTTTATGATACGCAAATTTCGTTCGTGGATGGTCCTGCGCGGTTGTGGAATCGCTCCTGCAGCAGCCTTCGATGGAATATCGACATGATGGCCTCGATATCCACACGACGACCTGTGAAGGATCGATTGCCATGGGTTGTTGCCCATCCCGACCTTTCACAACTTCTTGTCAAGAAAATTACCGCGAGCCGCGAGCTAACCAATGCTGAGCTGCGCGCAACTACTGCCTACAACATGCGGTCGTCACGTTGCGGAAACCACGACCTGGCCCTCCCAGTCTTTATCGTCAATCCAGCTCTTAAGCATACGCATTAAACCAGGTGGACTGTGTTGGCTAGCTGACCCACTTACAGAACGACATTGGTGCAGAGAGTTTTATCGGCATGCGTGTTGCAGTGCGATCGTTCAGCCTTGCCATGAACGGAACAGTCTGGGATGGGCAAGACGGGCGGCGAACGATGGCGGACTACCCAGGTGAACCCCCTGCGATCCTCCGAGCGACGATGAAAGTCCCACCGAGTTTCTTGAGTCCATTGTACTAGCTCCAGACAAATTGATGATGGTTTAATTGGAGGCAAGCGTCAAAGCTGTTCCAGCCTGCACGTCGTCGATGTTACTTGTGTCGCATCAAAAAGTGGGTGGTAAAGGCAGCAGGACGATCCGAGCCCCTCCACCGACTCGTCATCAACCTCTTCAACTCCATCAACGGAGCAAACATGATCGGCAGGGCATCGAAATTGAATGTTGTGCACACGATTGGGAATTATGTTGAGTTAGCCCGGGCAATCTATCCCACAGACAAAAACATGTTTATGGGGTCATTTGAATGGGAAATGAGACACGAGGGTCCAATGGATACACGCGAGCCTCAGCGCAAGACGTCATTCCTCAGTCCTACCAAACTCCGCTCGCACGCAGTGCACAGACCGAATGCGCGCCCCCACTCCTTGTCAAGCTGCGCTATATGCAGGAGGTTGAATCTCTTTCGCTTGGCGCCCCCTGGCCCCAATACTACTTTCCTCCCGCGTTCGCCACCACTGGAGCCAGGCCGTAGCACAAGTGTTAAACCTGAGGCGTGTGGTTCGATCTCGACAAGGTCGCCACCCAGCAATGTTTTGGACCACAGTAGAGCCAGCTATGTGGGTACAGCATGTGCTACTTCAACTGACGTGATCGCGCAGTACAGGACCAACGGAGCCCCTTCCCCCGTGGCCCTCGAACTATTATTCTGAAATACAGTACTGATGTTGTTGTGGTGCGTTATCGCTCAGTGAAATTTCATGTTTTTTGGCCAATGGAAGACTGACTATCTCGATTTCACAGTGTGACTGACTACCACTGGTCGTGATAAGTTCGGGGG